ATAAAACAAAAATAAAATTAAAAGTCACATCAATCCTTCAAACTGGACTAGACATTGAACTGTAAAGCGTTTCATGTTTTGAGGATGGCTGCCTCATTTCTCCAGATCCAGTTTTGTGATACCATGGGATGGGTGGTGGTTCTTTGCTAGGTACATTTTTGCCCTCAAGGGGGCATGTAGCCATGTCTGGAGACATTTTTGGTTGTCTTAACTGGGAAAGGGCTGCCATTGGCATCTAGTGGGTAGAGGCCAGGTATGCTCCTAAATACCCCACAAGGCACAGGACAGCCCCGCTACCCCCACAATGTAAACTACACAGAGATTGAGAAGCCCTAGCTTAGAGTATGGCTATCCATCTCAGGGAGCAGAATGCAAATCTTTGCAGAGGAATAAAACCAGAACGAAATCTAATTTTATTTTTATTTCAGTAAAATGGTAAAATGATGCTCAAGTGGAAGAAAGGGAAAGGGGATAGAGTTTGAGAAAAGGAAAAGGGGGGAAGAGGAGGAGAGGAAATAAGTATGCTGTGCAGCACTTACAGGCTCAGAGAAGTTCTTAGATCCAATAAGCAACTAGCAGATGTGGAAGCACTGAATGATGTAATAGGCTGTGGGAGTGATTTTCACTCACATAACCTCACAGAGCAACAACATTCCCTGGGTTTTTCTGTGGTGTCTGGGGCCCAATCACAGGAGAAACACATTAAGTGTTAGGGTGAGTGATGGAAGGTTAACCCGAGATAAGACCAACAGGCAATGAATATATTGTCACCTTCCTCCACCTTTGCTCCTTGTAGTTCCAAGTTATCTGGCTTGTCCCTCTGATTAGCTGCAGCAAGGAGAAGTGGCAAAGACCTAGATCTCAATATATGGAACACACCAGTTTGCTAATTGTAAATTAGATCAATTATCTTAAAATTAATTCAATTCACTTCTTCCTCCAGTGCAGTTTAGTCTGCCCATGAGTTTTCTATGCATGTGCATCTATATCAAGCTGGTGTCGGGAAAGGCAGGAGTTGGAACCCTTCAAATCAGACGGCATGCTGGTTAACGTGCTTGGAAGGCTCCAAGAATGGTGCACAGAGTAATTTTTTTTAAGCCCTCATCTTGTGGCATTAGGGAGCTCAAGCAAAGGGAATGGCTGAGCCATGAAGAGCATGCCAGGCAAACTCATGCACACAGATACATGCACAGCCACGTCCACAGGCTCATCCAGGGCACCTGTAGCCCAGGTGACCTTGGGGTCCTCCAGGGGGAAAGTAAAGTGTGGGCCACAGCCTCCATTGTGGGCTGTGTTGGCTTTCATAGCTGACCAAAAAAGCACATGCAGTTTCCCATTTCACTGGGATGAAGGACAGTTTCACTTCTGCATGACCTGAGGTATGGTGCAAGGCCCATTTCTCTACATCCTTAGGACTGAATGGCCCACTTCTCCCACTTAGCTGCAGTCACAGGTGCAGCAGGTGCCCTGCCCATCTCCTCCTGCACTTGCTGCTCTACACACACAGGCAGTCTGACTGTGGGCCCTAGGGACTCTCTCTGTGAGGGCACTGTCGGGCCACATCCACACAGGTGGCTCTCGTATATGGCAACATAGAGTGACAGGGAACAATGACCCCAGGACTGTCCTCGGCCCATGAGAGAGGAGTGAAGGAGTAAACACCTGAGCTTTGCTGCCTCTGGGCTAATGCAACCCAAGGCCTGTTCTGGACTGTCTCCCAGAGGCCCCCAGCAGGAACCAGTTGTCCACAGCAGCCTCCTGACCCTGAACATGCCTGTGACTGTCCTCTCTCCCAGCCCTGACTCAGCTCCCCTTTCCCTCAGCAGGGCTGCTCCACAGGACATCCCCAATGACTCACACTGACATCCCTTTACTGGGGTGGGCCTCTGAGGAAGCCCAACCTGCGACACAGTCAGGGTAACAACTGGAGAGCTAGGCCCTCCCACAGCACAGTGGGCAGACACACCTGTCTACTAAGGATCACACACCCGGGACAGCCGATCAGAGCTGCATCTGGGACACTCACTCTCTTGCTTTGCAGAGCAGGGTGGTGGGGTGGCTCTCAGCCAGGGTGCAATTTGCCCCAGGGACATTGGCAATCTCAGGAGCCACTTGGGTGATCACAAGTGGGGATGGGTGCCACTGGCGTTTAGGGGGTGAGGCCAGGATGCTGCTGAACATCCTACAGCGCACAGGACGCCCTCCCACCAGCAAATGCCGCTGGTGCCATGTGCAGAAACCCCCGCACAGTGTGGCACCAGAGTCAGAATCCCCAGCACTGGGTACTTTTTTCATCTCTAAAAAGATGATGAAACATTTACTTCGCAAGGTTTTTATGAGTCTTGAGTTGAGGTAAGTAGAATGTGGAGTCCCCTATTCCTTCATTCTGTAGTGCCGACCCTGTGCCACATAATGACCAAGTCGGTGACCAAGCAGACAGGGAAGAGACATCATCTCTGCCCTCAGAAAATCCAGAGGCTGTGTGTGGGAAACCGTGCAAACACTCAATGCCTCTCCTGTGGGAGCCCGGCTGTGATAAGGCATGTGGTAGGTGCACGTTGGCGGGGCAGCAGAGAGGAGGAGGTGTGCTCCTTGGTGGTCAGGAAGCACTGTTTGAGGTGGAAGGTGGGGATCAGCAGGTGACTGAGCAGAGAGGGGCCTCTCAGCAGAGGAAACAGCCTTTTGCAAGGGCACAGAGCCCTGCAAGTGTTGGCCCATCTGCGGCATGCTGACCATGTTCAGAGCTTAGACACATGAAACAGAGGAGACAGAGAGATGAGGCTGGGCAGGAGGCAGGGACCAGGTGGGGAGGAACCCTTGGCAGGGCTGGGGCAAGGGGTGGCAAGTGAGGCATGGAAGGCCCTGACCCTGGTGGGACCTGCCTGACCCGGACAGTGGGTGCCTCCTTCATGCTGGTGCCCCAGGCCCCCACAAGCCCCAGCCCTGCCCGGCTTTCCTCCTGTGCCACGCTCAGGAGCCAGAAAGTCTAGTCTGCAGGCCAGGAGCAGCAGGCAGAAGTTGTGGGCTTCTTTCCCTTTTAGGAGGATAACCTGACTCAAACACAGGTCCCCTGTGCCACTTCTCATCCAACAAAATGCCTACTTCCGAGCAACAAGAAAGCAGAGCTTTGCCCTCCTAATTAGCTTCTCCACCTCACAGACCACTGTTACTAGACTGACCCTTTCTCAGACCCAACACTCAGCAAACTCCTGGGGACAGAAGGCAAACAGGATCCTGGTGGGTGACAAGCCTGCAAGTCTGGTTGGCAGCTAAGTTCACGTGTTCAAGTGGGAAGAATAAGGCAGTGCTTTGAGTGACAGTCAGAGCTCATGTTCACCTCATTAATTCGGGCTTTATTAAAGCCAGATACTTCGATTATTGGATGGCAAAATAGACTTAGCTATCCAGTCTTCTGCTTCGCCTAAATTGGGGCAGGTGGAGGGGAAGAAAGAGAGACAGGGAAAGATGTTGAGAAGAGTTCAGAAACTAAACCGATTTAGGTTAGTGCCCCCTTGTGGCGCTCCACAAGGGTACATTTGCTCTAAGACAATTCATAGGCCAGGAGAAAACTGCTCTTGTTGTGTCCCAGACCAGGGTCCTCTTTAAGGAACACCTAGTCAAGGAGATTTTAATCCTAGTGCAATAAACTGCATCTACTATGTGTATACTTATCATAATTGCTATCAGTTAAAGAAGCACATTTATGTTATACCAGTCTGTAATTCAGGAGTTTCACCACATTGTCTTGACCTCTTCTCATTTGTGAGACGTCACTACAAACATCATTTCATCATTAGGTCTCCCTCTCGACATCAAGAGATTCTCTTGAAAACCTGTCCAAAAAGGCTGGCAGGCTTCAAAGCAATAACAGAAGTGATGGGAATCAATGTCCCATAAAGTATCTAAGACTCCGTCTCAGTCCAAATCCGTCATAGGACCGTAGCTATGGTCTAGAGTTCCAGTATTCAATTAACTTTGCTGCCATCGCCTGGAACAATAGTTCTCAACCCCTTCAGATGCAAATCACCTTCTAATTAAATAGTTTCATCCTGAACTGTAATTCATAGACAATATGGTTTACCTACCCCGCACTGTGTAACAAATTACAAGATGCCCTTATGTAACACACAGGGAGATAAAAGGTCAGTACTTATGTGTAAGAACACCGTGCTCCCTGCACATGTACGAGTCTCTGAAAACCAGTGGGCAGGACATTCCTGGAAGAGTCAATGAAGAATTCCAATGCCCGCACCAAAGCCTCCGCATACGCAAATGCCACACATGTGGACACTTCGGAGTTTGTTCAGCTGGTGGGCTCTAGGAGCAGCCCTGCCACTAATGACAAGTCCAAGAACCGCCAACCATCCCTGATGGAGGTCTCGCGGAGAAAAGAGACGACCACTTTCCCGACTCTCCCAGCAGTTGCATTCCAGAACAAATTAGTGTGTAGCAAAACCGTACTCAAACCAGGATGCATTTTTTTTGTTGGTGGCTTCTGACTCGGTGTGCACGCTTTTAGTGGTAAAGTCAAACAAAAGACCCTTCCTGGTCCTGCTCTCCGGCAAAAGTGTGGGCACCAGAACAGGAAGTGTGGAAAGTGAGGTCCTCACAAAAGGGCCTCGCGCCCCTAGAGGTGGCAGCAGGCGACAATGGGATGAAGGGTGGTGTGAACCGCCACTGCAGTAGAGTGCGCCAGAGCACACCTTCGCACAGGTGGCTGGGAGAATCCGGCTCAGCCTGCAGTCCTCGAGGCAGGCACTGCCAGACGGCGGCTTCTGCAGGACCCCTGCGTGTATGGGCGACCCCCAAATCGTAAGTATTTTATGCGGTTTTCCGGGTAGTGGGTTTCGCGGTGTCCATTTTGTAGTAAGGCTCGTGGCTCCATGGTGGAGACGTGGCTTTTGCAAAAGGATACATCGACATTAAAGATACAATACTCACTCTGTGCATCAGCGCCCTTACATTTTTTTATCCTTTTAGGGCCGCCATTTTATACCACAATGGAAAAAGCTTTAGAACGAGCTTTAGATCGTGCAGAGTGTGTCATTGAAAGTATACGGCAGAGACCCCCTAAACGTACAGAGTCATCTAGTGGGGGGAAATCTCTCCATGAAAAACTGTATGACCTATATGTCGAAGAATGTGGAAAAGAGCCCGAGGTTACGGAGGAATTAATAAGCAATGTGAACTTGTTAGAAAAGCTTGTTCAGAGGGAGTCCTTGTCCCGTTTGGTGGTCAACCTGTACCCAGGAAAGCAGGGCTATTCGCTGGTGCTCAAGGGGCCAAGTGAATCACATTCAGAGACCATTCGACTGCCTTACAAAGTAAGGACATTTCTAGAATACCTGGATGCAGAGGAATTGCCTCCTGCATTGGTGGATCTCCTGGAAAAGTCCGAACTGAACATGTTTCACAGTGGGTGTGTCATAGCAGAAGTACGGGACTATAGGCAGGGCGGTAATGCAGAGCCCCCTGGCTACCAAAGCAGGCATGTCCTCCTACGCCCAACGATGCAGACATTAGCCTGCGATGTAGAGTCCATAGCCAGCAATAACCAGGAATGGACCCAGGAAGACAAACTGTTACTTGAGAGCCAGCTGATCTTAGCTACAGCTGAGCCCCTGTGTCTTGATCCTTCTGTATCAGTAGCCTGCACTGCAAACAGGCTGCTCTATAACAGGCAAAAGATGAACACTCCCGCCATGAGAAGGAACTTCAAGAGGTACCCCACAGCCTCCCCGAATGACCTGCAGGAGCCATCTTGTAGTCCAGACCCTCAAAAAAAAAGCAAGGCAAGTCCAGCAGCTGAGCAAAATGACCTCAAAATTTCCAAAGCAGGAAATTGTGTGGATATATGGAACCAGAGACCCTGTGACTTGGCAGTCCCTTTTGAGGTGGATGTAGAGAAATATGCTAGAGAGGAGAGGTCTGTCAAATACGATGACTCACCACTAGCAGACTGGCCAGCCTATGGGGTAAATGATGATATTTCTCTATTTGGATGTGAAGCTGGTGATCAGTCCCAGACAACAAAGCTGACCTTCATGAAGTCTCTTAATGATCCATTTATCTCTGGAATAGAAAGTGCACCTAAAAAAGCCAGATGTGGGAGACGTGTGTTTCAGTTCCGGTCCTCCAAAGTTGACCATTGCTATAGTTTGATGCCTGAGTCAAGCATTGACACTGGGGAAGCAGAGAGTCTGTTCGAGGAACTGGAGCCACTGAGCCCTGAATGTACCTTCCAGGTGTCACAGGGCTCCAGCGGCTCAGCCCCTGTGAGCCAGCTTTCTGTGCAGAAAGAAGCAGCACAGCCTCTGGCCTTGGCAGTTCAGTCTTCAGTACCTAGGGAGGGAGTCCAGCACACCCCTCCACCCATCAGCCTTCTCTCCAGCTCAGGAAATAGTTCCTCAGGTAATATCAGTTTGGCTCCCCAGCAGGCAAGCTGCATTCGCCTTCTTAAAATGCCATCTCCTGTCCCTGCTTCAAAGCCACTGAGTCTTCCCCAGAAACCCTCTGTGGAAGCGAACCATGTTAGCACACTTCCTGCAGCCTCCCTGTGTGCTGCCAACTCAGCAGAAACAATTGTGGCCAGTCATGTCAAGCCCAAGTCTGCTGGGCCCGACCTCATCAAATTGGCAGTCCCTGTTCCTGCAGGGACTGTGGTGAGAGTTTCTACAGCCACGAGGAGCTCTACTGCTAGGGCTAGGGCTCCTGTACCAATTAGGCCCAGCCACCTGTCCTCAAGAGGCCAGCCACCAAGTATAGGACCCACTGTGCCACAGGCTGCTTCTCAAGGAGGAGTTCAGTATAATATAGACCTTTCAAGATTTAAGCCCATTGGTGTACTTTGGGTTCCAAATGGTGTTGACATTTGGAGAAGCCCGGAAACACAGCGGCAGATTTGCCAGTTGATCTCAGCACCACAGCTTCAGCAGCCCCCCACTACTCTTCAGCAGCGCATGTTGCAGGGTTCAATTGCACAAGGTTCGGCCAGTCAACAAACAGCCTTTTCTGCTCAGCAAGCTGCTGTCATTAGCCGCAATGAGGTCGGAAGTGTTCTGCAGCCCCAGATCATGGTGCAGCCTCAGCCTGCCTCTGCCCAGACAGGACCTGGGCAGAGCCGCCCAAAACACGTGGTCCAGCTCTCCACTGCCTTCCCACAGCAGCCGCAGCCCCAGCAGGTAAGGGTCAGAGTCTTGCCATCCCCAGTGGCAGCAGCACCCCAAACAGCTCAGCAGGGTGGGTGCCCGCAGGTAGCAGGCCAGGGCAAAGGCAAACAGAATGGAGGCCTGCCCCGCCCTCCCAAATCCTGAGTCTTGCATTGGGTCCTCTCTTTTGCAAAACACGAGAGCATCGACCCAAAGCAATAGAGTTTTTACTTCATTCTGCATTATTTTGATGTGTCAGTACTTCAGTCGTTAGACGTGTAAACTTTATTCAGAAGCACAACCCCATGATTGTACGTAGAGACAAGAAGGTGTTTAATAACCTGAGATGGTTTGGCTTATGCCATTGTTTTGGTTGCTGTTATTAACACAGTGAGTTCTATTTTAGTGTTCCAAAGTGTATCAAATCCACAGTAGGCTCAGCTGAAACTCCTGAAGCCTATAGTTTCTCTGAAACAATAAATCTGCAATACCGATCAAGTTAAAATTACATTAATTTAGCAAGGTGAATATGGTTTTTAAAACTTTTGCCGAGTTAAATGAGCACATCACAGAAAATGCACCATCTTAGCCTCTTTCGAGTTGCGTGGTGTACACCAGGTCTCCAGAGCTGTCTTCATCTGACAACAGAAAAGCTGCACTGGGTGAGCACCAGCTGCCCATGTCGCTCTTCCCCCGGAGCCTGGCAGGCAGCGGGCTCCTTTCTGCTCCTCTGAGTCGGACTGCTTTAGGCACTTGGTGTGAGTGCAGTGATGCAGTCGTGGTCAGTTTGGGGCTGGCCTCTGTCACTCAGCGTGACACCCTCTAGGTCACCCACGTTAGCATGCGGCAGGAGGGTCCCAGCCTTTTCAATGGTTTCCCACTACATGACATATGCTGGAGTGGCCTGTGAAATATTGGAAACATCTTGGAGAAGAAGGTCCTTTTGGTATTTGATTATTTAGGTCAGGAGGTTTTAGGCAGTGTATGAGAATCAATTTTTTAAAAAATTGTTTGGACAAATGCTAAAACTGGGAAACACTATGCTTTTCACACCTGCAGTGAGGACCTGGGAGACCTCGCAGTGTGCAGAGCGGCTCCAGGCGGACCTGCGGCCAGGGCCATGGTCCCAGGCGGCACAGAAGGACTGGAAGAGGCACTTCTGGGATGTCTTGTGTTCTCTCGTTATGTGACCGTTTCTACTGTTAGAACTCTAGCTTATTTGTCAAAAAGTAAACAGCTAAAACGTTTGGAAATGAGTTTTATTTGTCTGTCTTTCAAGTGTTTGCAGCCTGGTTAGATTCTGAAAGCAGAACCCCACCCCTTCCCTTTCCCTGGCTTACTGCCTGCCAGCTGACTGTAGCCTGGCTCCCTGAGCTCCTCTCTCCTTCTGGGGCGTGTCATGGGCCGCCGAAGGTCCCTGGACTTTTCTGCTTTCTTCTCCCCTCTCTTTTTATTGAGATGTGATGGGCATAAGAAACAGCCCAGGCAAGGTGTACGACTCAGTGGCACTTACTCCTTTAGAGTGTTGTGTCGCCACCATCTCTGTTCCAAAAACACCTCATCACCCCAGAGAAATCTCTGAAGCCCTTTAGTTTGTGGTTCCCATCCTGCCCTTCCCCAGCCCCAAAGCCACCCGTTGGCCTTTTTCTGGATGGGCTTCCCTGTTCTAGACACTGATGGAATCACACAGTATGTGGCCGTTTCTGTCTGGCCTGTTTTCCTTGGCATGATGTTTTTGAGGTTCATCTGTGTTGTAACATGTATCAGTACTTGATTCCTTTTTATGTCTGAGTGATATCCCGTTGTTTGAATGTACCACATTTGTTTATTAAATCTCCATGAGTGTGCATTTTAGTCGCTCCTACCTATTAGCTGTTGTGTGTGATGTTGCTATGAGCTTTTCTGTACAGGTGATTTGTTTTTGTATCTCATATTTTGCTCTGTTACGGTTTTAAAGGGCACCCTGTCTACATAAGATTTGTTTTTCTGAGTACATATGTATGTTTCTATGCCTTTCGCCCTAACAAAAAAGGGAACTTTGGTCTGGCAGTTCCAAAAGAGATGAGTGAAGGGACAGGTGACCAGTGAGTCTTACTTGATGAAGTCAGCTGTCCTCCTGTGCTGCTGATTCCATTAAGGCAAGACTTGTGATGCGTTCAAACAAACTGCTCACGTATGCCATCTGAGGACCACTGCACTTGGCTGAGCCTCCGTCACCCACTTGGACCTCTTGGGAATGGTCCCCGCACTTTCACGAAGGGAACCGGTGCAATGTTCAATTGCAAAGAAGCGTCCACTCTCGGCCTTGGGAACCAACCAGAGACCTGAACTCAGATTCTAGCCAGATTTGATGTACTTCCTCTGTTTTACTGACCTTGTTCTAGAGTGATGTAGCACTCCCTTCTCTGGCAAGCAAATAAAGTTAGCTTTGTTTCCAATAACCTTTTGTGGTGTCTTTTTATATCTTTCTAATGATCCCTACCAAAGTTGGTACTTGATACAAGGTCCCTTGTGACACTATTAACTTGCCATGTTATATAATTGAACTTCTCCCTCATTTTAGTATCATGAGAACCTGGAGGCTTTTGCTGACTCCTGGTCAAGTCCATACACTTTGTCTTTCATTAGTTTTGTGCAGCCTGCGTTTCATGACCTAGTGTTTGACCAGTCATAGGGAGGTAGTTGTGGGGAAGCAGGTGGCCACAGAATGCTGCCACAGATGTTAGCAAAGGTGGTTCAGGAGATGATTATCCAGGGAAATCCTTGTGGGCCCAGTACAGCACGACATGTCTCTGTCATAGGATGGCCGTTTGGGAACAGAATTATATTCCTGAGGATGCTCGCAAGTGAAGGGAGGACTCTAGTTGTAGGTAAGCACTGTCCAATAGAAATATATGAGCCCCATTTATTATTTTAAATTTTCCTGTAGCCACATTTTAGTAAGTAACAGGAAAGAAGAGAAATTACCCTTAATCATTTATTTAACGCAACATAGGCATATTTCAGAGATGTTGCAGGTTTGGTTCCAGACCACTCAGATAAAGCACATATTGCAATAAAGCAAGTCACCCAAAATTGTTTGGTTTCCCAGTGTACATATAAGTTATGTTACACTATTCTGTAGCCTATTAAGTGTGCAATAGCATGGTGTGTAAAACAAGCAATGCACATCTTAATTAGAAATACTTTGTTGCTAAACAATGCTCACCATCATCTGAGCATTCAGCAAGTTGTGACCTTTTTGCTGGTGGAGGGTCTTGTGATAAATCAAACCAGGAATGCCTGTTTATCCAAGATTATCATTTCTATTTGTAATCAATATTTCAAAGATTTTAATGGGATATTTTACATTGTTTTATTTTTACTAAATCTTCAATATCCAGACACTTACAGCCTATCTTAACTCAGGTGTGAGATTTTCATCAGAAATACTTGATCTCAGTTTAGATTTTAATAAAATCTACAGTTGAAAATGTAGATTCATCTTACAAACATTCTTAGGCATTTTCTAATAATCTGATCAACTATCAGTTTTGAAGTTTAAATTACTTAAGTAAAAATCAGTTCCTCAGTCTCACTAGCCATGTTTCCAGTGGTCCGTAGCTTCATATGGCTGTGGTGCTGGACAGTGAATTTCTAAAGCGACGAAGGAGCAAAGCAGATCTGAAGAGTGCCTCAGGCATGAGGTGGGTACCAGTTATTGAGATGAGGTGGGGGGGTGATCATCAGAACACACTGTTGGAGTAGAAGTAAGGATGTGTGATGAAGTGATTCTGTGTGCTAAGCTGTACCTCCAGGAAGTCCTCACGGCTTGAGATCATCTGGGCCTGGGCTTGGGCCCGGGTGTGCAGGTAGACAGTAAGTGGCCCTTGCCATGGAGCCACAAGGGTCAGCTGGGCTCTTCCTTTTCAGATGCAAAACATCTAATTAGAGGACACTAACTATTCCAGCAGTGAATTGAACAACTCAGCCATCCCACCTGGACCCCAGGAGCATGGAACCTGAGGGAATGCAGGACAGGGGTCACACCACCTGCCTTTTCCTTCTTTGTTTTACTCCTCCCTGTTCATTTTCTGGGTTTCTAAGTCCTCGGCAGAGAGAAACCAGACCAGCCATGATTGGATAATGTGGGAACTGGGTGATGGGTACAAGGAGGGTCATTATATTATTCTCTTTACTTTGGCATATATTCGTAATTGGATACAGACATACACACAGGGCCTGGCAGAAGTAAGACCTGCTTGAGTGTGATTGGTGGGGTAATAATACGGGTGTAATAATTTCTAGTTTTCATTTGAACACTTCACCTAAAATGTCATATGATGTGCTTGAGTGTGACATTGTTATGTTACAGAATTACATGCATATGAGTTTGTTATAAAAGATTTTGTAATAAAAAGGGATGGTATGCCCTGGCTGGTGTAGCTCAGTGATTGAGCACAGGCCTGTGAACCCAAGTGTCGCTGGTTCAATTCCCAGTCAGGGCACATGCCTGGGTTGTGGGCCAGGTCCCCACTTGGGGGTATATGAGAGGCAACCAATCAATGTTTCTCTCCCACTCTTTCTCCCTCCCTTCCCCCTCTCTAAAAAGAAATAAAATCTTTTTTTAAAAAAGGGGGTGTTATTTGTGCCAGATCCTATATATATGCACACATCCACATACACTTTATATATCTACTTTGGCATGTATTTATAATTAGCTACACACACACACTCTTGCTCTCTTTATATGTCTCCTTTGGCATATATTTGTGTGTCAGTTTGAGCAGTCAAGTTTCTGGTGTTCCTACAGCCCCACTAAACACCTTCCCCATCCCAACTTCCATCGTGTGCCTGAAGTCCAGCCAGACCCAGGCCCTCGGCTTGCCCTTCCTCCTTCCCTGCTTCACTCCCATCACTGCAGGCAGCAAAGGGTGTGCGAGTTAATTGTTAAATTCAGTTCAACAAGTTCCTCATTAGGGACAAATTACCTGAGTTTGAAATCTGCTAATTTTCCAATCAGAGTGAGTGTTTGCACTTGTGATTTGGAAATAATTACCATATGGTAAAAGCAAAACCTATGTGGGGATTAAAGTAAAGGTGAGGGAGGACAGGAGCTTATTTTGGCATCTTCCATGGAAACTCCTGTTAGCATATGCAGATGATTGCAGTGCCTCTGGGGTTGG